ACTGAAAAGTTGGTATTTCCTGGAAGAAACTTTTTTTTTTTTTGCAGAGAAAACTCAAAACAGAAGCTTGGGAAAGAAACTGTCTTTCACTAGTAGTGTTTATCGGCAATGCCTGAAATTTACTAACTAGCATTTGCTGATTGCTCAGACTTCCATAAACTTTCAGAATGTTTACAAATCAGCTTTTTATTATTTGTGAATGTTAAGTGATCATACCAAATGTGTTGATTTAAGGGCCTAAAAATATAAGTAGAGCCTGCTGGATCAGACCTGTAGTCTACCTAGTCCAGCCTACAGTTTCACACAGTGACCAACCAGTTATTCTAGATACCTCTATCTTAACTGTGTGTCAAGATACAACGGGACTCTTTAAAGTCCCACTGGGCTCCCATTTTTATTTGCTGCTACAGACTAACATAGGCCCCAGTCACACGGGCCGGATATCGTAGGGGGGGCGTGGCTGTTTGCCCCGCACCGAAATAACGCGTGACTGCGCGATCAGGTGCCCCCTCGCGGTCCCGTCGAGGTCCCGTGGTTAGGGGGGAGGTGCCAATCACATGACGCGAAAAAGAAGTGGCGCGGCACGGCAAACGGGGTTGTTTTTTTTAACCTGAAGTATGCGCATGCCCCGTTGGGTGCTTGTGCGCATCCCTGGAGACTTCGGGGGGGGGAACCTTTTTGCAATGGGGAATGGGCGGGTGCCGGATGCCACCGGAAACGAGATCAGACGCCCGCCCTTGCCCCGCGGTTTCCAGAAACTAGTACCTCCGAGGTACTGTTTTTTTACCGCGCGTCTTCGGTGGGAAGCCTCGGGTGAGCCACGGGAGCTCTACGCTTCCCAGATGTGGCGGGGAGGTGGCGCCCGGAAAATCCACCTATCTTCTGTCCCTCTAGCGTGGCTAATGCTCCGTGTGACCGGGGCCTTAGCTATTCATACAGAATTAAATTTGCATCTAATTATCATTGCAAAAAGAAGGAATCTTCTGACAAACCTTTTATATCTTCCCTTTATATTATTATAACTATGATTATGACTGTATCCAGTCAAAGCGTTGTGTTTGCTATGTACTTCATATCCAGTAGAAAATGTTAATCGAAATGTGAGAAAGTTTATCATGAAAGTCTGGTTTGAAAAGGAATGGCCAGAGCAATGGCCACAACTGAACAGTAAAACAGAAATTTGGCTTGTGAAAAGACCCTCGTGCTGGAGGAGCAGGTGGTGATCTCACCAGTCCGTGCAGCTCCCCCTCCAGCTGGCCCAAAGACAGAGGAGGTAACATAGTACTCTCCAAACATGTTACCTATGTAAGGCATGGAACAGAACACAATAGGAAGCTGAGCCTAAGACCATCTTGTTCGATTAGATTTGTCTCACAGTTTGAGTGAACAAGATCACAGAGAGAGAGAGAGAGAGAGAGGGAGGGAGGGAGGGAGAGACATGGGCTCCTGTTATTACTGTATCTGCATTTAATATCAGCCTATAATTCCATACACCAAAAGATGACATGTTGCTGACTTGATCCCAGACTGACATAATCTGCAAAATCCATAAAAACCAGCCTCATGACAGGAGTCTGCCATTTTTCTAAGATTTTGAATGGAGTCACTGAGGCCTGCAAGGAATTATAATTATTACAAGTTTGCTGCAGGTATACAGGTGTTACAATTTTTAAAAAAGCTGGGTCATGTACTGCGGACACAAATATCAACTTAGTGCAGAAATGTGTACAATTCATTCTGCACAATGAAGCAAGCTGATCAACTTGGAACTAAGAGCCTTCCTTAGGCTGCATTTAGGTAATCCCTTGAATCAAACATTAAGCCTGAAAGTGAATGAACTTGATAGTTTGTTGGCAGGCTTTGCACATACCCCATCCTCCTTCCTTCCTCCCTTTTGTATGATGTGGAATGAAGAAATCTGGTTTAAAACTCCACTGCACCTGACATAAGAATGCAGGAGCAGAGCTTAACTGAAGTCAGTTTTCTCTCTCTCTCAATCAATCCATCTTTGGGTGCTTGTCTGCATATGTCTTTTCATATAGAGGGAATCATGGAGGAAGGGGGGTGGACCTTGCACTTATGGGCAAATTCCCAAGTGGGCCGCTGTGCTAGGGGGACACTTGCAGTGACCATGAGCTGAACCAAGTGATCCCTGCTTGCTGCAGAGCAGTTTTAAAACCAGACAACCCAGCCTGGGGGCTGTGAATCAGGACCAGGACCATCTAGCATCTTTCCAACAACATGCCTTCCATTAAACTCCATTAAACTCAAGTAGTGAGGGAATATTTAGTTCTATTACAAATAAATATTATCAGAGGTAAGCAAAATACTTAAGACTGTAATTCAATTCCATCTTTCTTAGCCAAGAGTCCGTGACCAGGTTACTAAGTCTTCTACTTCTTGCTCCCAGTGCTCCTCTTCTTGACTTCTGCTTTGCATCTTATATAATGATGTCATAGGTTTTTCATACTCAGATGGTGCTGTGGTAGTAAATATGTCAAAGAAATCACAGAACATTTTAACAAAGAAAGAAAAGCTATATACATGAAAATAAAATCCTCAATAAGGCTTTAATCTTTAAAGCCAGATTTTCATTCACCACTATTTTTATTTCCAGGTTTTCTAAATATACTTAAATATATAGTCCATACATGACCTGTGTGTTAAGTGGTTAGTAAAATCTATCTACTGTGTAGCTGTAGAAGAAACCAGGTATATTCATGCTACAAACGATGGGAGGCATTTTCATATGTTGAAACTGCAGTAACAGTGAAGACTTTCACTTCTGCCAGTCATGATAGTGGAATTAAGTTGTGGAAGCAATCGTTTAAGCTAAATATTAGGAAAAGAATTCCATATGAATATCAGGACAATGGAATGCTTAGAAAATATTATAGGCAAGGATTCGCTGGATCCATTAATGCGAAGCCTGATAACTATTTGCAAAGGATTTATCACAGAAGTTTCCAAACGTCTCTCCATCTGAGAGATCATTTTTCTCTTGATTTCATATTGTCCCATTCAGAGTATTAAGCCATACCTGGAAAGTCTCCACCCCAGACCCTCAATGCACAACTAAGCCTAACAGAAGCATGAATGGCACTGCAAACAGCTGTGGAGCCCATTGAGGTTGTCCCCCTCCCCCACTGCTCTCCAAATTTGGGGGTGGGGGATAATTCATTTTTCATTCATCCAAATGAAGCTATACAATTTTCACCAGTGGAAAGATAAATTTTCCCCCTAACAAAGCTTTAAGATTGCAAGCAAGAGTTTCAATGACTTCAGGAAAAGTTCATTATTCTTGCTGCACATATTGGAAGACAGTTATTATACTGACAGTCTATGCTGGCCACACCAAATTTATTACAGTCATTAAGACAGTGCCAAAACAAAACCCAAGGGGTCCACAATCAAAATATTGGCCAGAGGCCCCACTCTGGTGTTATCTGAGCAGCTACAAATGAGAAAAGAACTGAATGCTACACCTGGGGACATATTTGTTATAGAGCTTCTTTCTAACCTACCTCACAATGTTGTTGTGAGGATAAAATGAAGGAGAGAAGGATGATGTAAGTCACTTTGAGTCCCCATTGGAGAGAAAGGTGGGAATAAATAAATAAATACATTTCTGTTCCATCAGTTAATGTGGGGCCTGGTCACTTTAAAGCTTTTATGCAACACAACTGCAAGTTGCTTTTGAAACAGATGGAAAAGGAAAGAAATTAGTCTTAATGTTGGATCAGAGCTGTGTTTCCGCCCTTCCCCTCTGTTTAAATGCCTGGCCAATAAGCTCTGTAGAACAAGAAAAACAGAGTGAGGACAAGACCATGTACTCCAAACAATTAAAAATAAATCCGATTTAATATTAAAAAATGTTCACAAAATGGTAGTTGATGGGTTAAGTGATAGTCTTTCTGCTATTTGCCACTTTAAAAATTTTAATGAATTTCTGTAGTTTTACACAAGCACAGCAAAGAATGGTATTTCCCCTGCTTTCATTGAAATGCTGGGAAAAATGCAGACTTACCACAAAATAAATTCAACCTTGGGTGGAGGGTGAGCCCATCTTCAACAAATAGACACAAATTACATTTATGACACAAAAAACTGATTGTGAGGCTTATCTTGCTATTGTCTTACCTGGAGTTAGGCTTGGAATATTTTCTCTTACTTTAAACATTTTTGGGTTCTTCCGTTTTTTAGTAAGCTCAGAGATAAGTATTCTATGTCTGAAATAAAACAGAGACCTAATGATGAAAACACTTATCAAACCACATTTTCACCATAACCAGAAACATGCACTTATTTACTAGCAGACAGAAGTAAGTCCTCAAAAATCGCACTGATTCTAGTGGCTCTTATTGCAACAAATGTTTAGGATAAGGGTGCCAGAATGGTTTAAAATTCATTCTTACATGAAAAAGAACACCCCATCATGCAAGAATAAAACTAATACAGCTGTAATTCTGCTAAGCATTGAACACTTTGCTTACTGTCCAGCAAAATCAAAGCAGGAGCATAAATGTTAAGCATGACAAAACACTCTTTGAAAGAGCAGAAACACTCTCAGCAGGGTACACCCCATTCTTTGGCATGTATTTAAGGATGCTACTCAGGGCCGGCTCACCCACTAGGCGAGCTAGGGTCTCCTCTAGAGCGCGGTGGCTCTTAGGGGTGCCAAACAGGACCTGCCCCCCCACCAAAGCCCCCCCGCCCCCGCCAAAAGCCCTGCATCCCTCGCTGCCCTGATGAACCCTTCCTGCTACTCAGCCCAGCCTGGCGCCACCTTCCGCCCGCCTTTCGGTGCTTCTCGGCCTGGCCCAACCGCAGCAGCAGCAGCGCTGCCTCCCTCCCTCCCTCCCACCCACCCAGGGTTGGCAGCCGGTGGGCTCTGGGGCAGAAGGAGCGCCCCCTCCCTGCAAGAATAGCAGGGCAGGGGAACCATCAGACGCTGCGGCTGCCCTTGGGTCTGGGCAGCAGGGCTCGGTCACAAAAGGAGGGAGGGAGGGCTGGCCCATCTGTCTCCCTTCGGCGAGGGGCTGCTATTCGCCCACCTGCCGGAGCCCTCCGCGCAAGTGAGCCCCACCACATCATCATCCTTGCCTTGGCCGGTGCGCCTGGCTGTGCACTCCCCCTCCACCTCTCAGCGCGGGGCTAGGTGGGAGGGCGCGGGGTGCCCGGATTGGCTGCTGAGCCAGACAGTGCTGAGGCTGCTGCTACTGCTGCTGCCGCCACCTACCAAAGAGAGCTGCTTGTCCCCGCCATCGAAGCTGGAGCCAGAGAGGCTGCTGGAGGCTGGAGGTGGCTGGGTAGGGCGCGGATTCGCTGGGCAGTGAGCGCCGGTGAGTCTTGCAGCCTCTCTGCCCGCATCCCCTCCCTTACCTGGCCGCTTTGGGGGGTGCCCGGCCAGGTTCTTGTGGCGCCTCTGCTCCACGGGGTGTTTCTGGGTGGTTTTCAGGCCCCACCGGGAGGTTGGCGTAACCTGGGGGCACCACAAGCTGGCCTCGCCTAGGGTGCAGAAACACCTTGGGCCGGCCCTGATGCTACTGGACCAGTGTGAGTGTGCCTCAACACCTTTCAGGCTATCACCCAGAAAGATTGCTGTTTGGAAATAAGTAATTTGACTTTTATTATACTTAGAAAATATTAAAATGTGATATAAGCAGTGACAATTTGACACTTATTTTTTTACTTGCTTATATTACTTGCCCTTCAGATGCAGGAACATGTGATTAAGACCTTTTCTGCACCTCAGTGGTTGCCACTGTTTCCTGGTTAGTTGAATCCCCAGCTGATGCTTCGATTTTGTGGCACCCCTTCCACAAAAGGGCATTTATGTCAGGGAAGTGCTTGCAGAGAGAAAGATCAGAAGGCTAAAGCTCAGTATGAGCTTAGGCTAGCAAGAGATGCTAAAAACAACAAAAAAGGGTTCTTTTCTTATGTTCAAAGTAAAAAAAGAGCAAGGACATGGTAGGTCCATTGCGGGGACGGGAAAGTGAAATTGTAAAAGGTGATGAAAGGTGATGAAGAGCAGTTCCTCAGTGGAACAGGCTTCCTTGGGAAGTGGTGGGCTTTCCTTCTTTGGAGGTTTTAAAGCAGAAGCTAGATGGCCATCAGCAATGCTGATTATGTGAACTTCAACAGATCATGAGAGGAAGGGCAAGAAGGGTTGCCTCAGTGCTTAGTTCTTGTGGCCCTTTCTTACACACCCAGGAAAATGCTGATCGCCAGTTTGGAATCTGGAAGCAATTTTTCTCCAGGCCAGTTTGGCCAGGGATGCTGGAGGCTTTTTGTCATCTTCTAGGCATCGAACAGGGGTCACTGGGGGTGTGGGGGGGGAGGTATTTGTAAATTTCCTGCATTGTGCAGGGGGTTGGACTAGATGACTCTGGAGGTCCTTTCCCACTCTATGAGTCTATGACTCAATAATTCATATCAGTGTTATTCAATAATTATGAAGCATGCTAAATGGAAACACTGCATATGTTGAGTTTCCATGATTATCAAATCAATTATATAGTTCCATTATTTTTAGATGTTTAAAAGACTGAATTGTTTATTTGTAGATGTTCATTTGTATATGTTTAAAAGACTGACCCCAAACTCACTGAAAATGTCAAGACAGTGTGCAACTGCAATAAGAAAGGTCAACGCTATGCTGGGGATTATTAGGAACGGAATTGAAAACAAATCAGCCAGTATCATAATGCCCTTGTATAAATCGATGGTGTGACCTCATTTGGAATACTGTGTACAGTTCTGGTCACCACACCTCAAAAAGGATATTATAGCATTGGAAAAAGTGCAGAAAAGGGCAACTAGAATGATAAAAGGGTTGGAACACTTTCCCTATGAAGAAAAGTTAAAGCACTTGGGGCTCTTTAGCTTGGAGAAATGATGACCAAGAAGGTGACATGATCGAGGTTTAAAAGATTATGCATGGGATAGAACAGGTAGAGAAAGAAGTACTTTTCTCCCTTTCTCACAATACAAGAACTCGTGGGCACTCGATGAAATTGCTGAGCAGTTGGGTTAGAACGGATAAAAGGAAGTACTTCTTCACCCAAAGAGTGATTAACACATGGAATTCACTGCCACATGAAGTGGTGACAGCTATAAGCATGGACAGCTTCAAGAGGGAATTGGATAAACATACAGAGCAGAGATCCATCAGTGGCTATTAGCCACAAGGTATAGATAGGAACTCTCAGTTTGGGGCAAGTTGATGCACTGTGTTCTTGGTGCTTGGGGGGCAACAGTGAGAGGGCTTCTAGTGTCCTGGTCCCACTGCTGGACCTCCTGATGGCACCTGGTATTTTTGGCCACTGTGTGACAGAGTGTTGGACTGGATGAGCAACTAGCCTGATCCAACATTGGCTTCTCTTATGTTCTCATGTCATTGAAAACATACTGGGAGCTATGGGGGAAGGGGGGGAGAGAGAATGAATAAATAATACCAGCGTGAGGTGACAAAGCCTACCTCCCCCCAAAAAAAAATTAAGGAAAAGAACTTCATGGACGGATAATCACATGGAGAAGACTACATTAAACACCTCTGCTTGTTTTGTCTCAATGTTATAATATTGCTAAATTATAATTTTTAAAAATTCATGTTGTAACACAATCAACACTACACTTAAAAATTAGCGAATCACTCAGGGGACAACCTGAGAGGGGCAGGAGAGGGGGAGAACACGCAACTGAGGACACAAAAGGGTGGTGGGAAACAAAATTCAAAATCAGGAATTCCTCACTGGAAAACTTTGAGTTCAGATCCAAAGGGGAAAAAATAGTAGATAAAGTGGATTTGGAAAATGCAGGGTAATGGGACACTACATTCGGATCTACTCCTGGGGAGGCAAAAATTGTGTGGCAAGTTTTATAAACTTCAATTATTTAAGAATGCCAATCTAGAAGTCTGCACTTGTGCAGAAATGGTAACACAAATCAGCTTCAGCTATTGAAGAGCCAGTTTAGTGGTTAAGTGTGTGGACTCTAATCTGGGAGAACCAGGTTTGATCCCCCACTCCTCCACTTGCACCTGCTGGATGACCTTGGGCAAGCCATAGTTCTGATAACAGCTGCCCTTGAAAAAGAGCAGTTTCTGTCAAGAGCTCTCTCAGCCCCACCTACCTCATAGGGTGTCTGTTGTGGGGAGGGGAAGGGAAAGGAGTTTGTAAGCCACTCTGAGACTCCCTTGGGTGGTGAAGGGCGGGGTATAAATCCAATCTCTTCTCTTCTTCTTCTTCTTGAAGATCAAAAAGTGGTTTCTTTTGCCACAGCTAAAGGAGTTTCATTAACCCTATCAGAGAGAAAGCCCTTCATGGTCTTGGACACTCAAGACTTCAGGACTGAAGGTGCTACACTGCAAATGGGTTGGATGGATAGGTGCTCAGATGCATGCATTCTCTACTGTGGTCCCCGCCTCATGGAAAGGTGGGCCTGAGAAGTTTGGGCACTTCTTCATTCCACAAAGCATGTAAAAACAGAACTGTTCAGGGCATTTTTATAAAGGTAATATGGCTATATTATAGGCTTGCCAGCCCTGGGTTGGGAAATACCTGGAGACTTTGGGGGTGGATCCAGGAGAGGGTGGGGTTTCAGGAGGGAAGGGACCTCAGGATGGTACAATGCCATAGAGTCCACCCTTCAAAGCAGCCATTTTCTCCAGGGGAGCTGATCTCTGTCAGCTGGAGATCAGTTGTAAAAGCGGGAGATCTCTAGGTCCCACCTGGAGGCTGGCAACCCTACTATATTATAACAAAATGGTTCAGGAAGGAGTTTTTGTAAAGAGAACATGACTGCATTATCCTCCTCTCATTGTCTTGTTGTCTACTTAGGTAATGCCATTTTCTGTATTGTTTGACATAATATGTCTAACCTTTTTTGCTTGTTTCAGGTTTCTGTAATCCTAGGTAAAGGTTTCCCTTGTTCGAAAGCCAGTCGAATCCGACTCTAGGGTTGTGGTGCTCATCTCCGTTTCCAAGCCGAAGAGCCAGCACTGTCCAAAGACATTTCCGTGGTCATGTGGCCAGCATGACTAGACACTGAGGCACACGGAACACTGTTACCTACCCACCAAAGTGGTACCTATTTATCTACTTGCAATTTCTTGCTTTCGAACTGCTAGGTTCCTATTATAGTGCTTATTAGACCTCTCATTGTACTGATTGCATTGACATCTACTGCATAATCTGCCTTGAGTCTCAGTGAGAAAGGCATAATATAA